GCTTTACTGTGGAGATAAGGACACTAGACTAACATTAGGTTAACATTCGGAAGAGATAATTGTACTTGGCTTGGTCGACCTTGATAACGGTACATAGATCAGATTTAACCCATGGGTTCCTGTCGCTTATGTTTTCACAGCCTGAACCGGATCGGTACGATTCGACTAACTGGAGACATCCGACCACGCCTGATGGAACAGCCTTCTCCAATAGAAACAGCTCATCAAAGCTTCGTTATGAACCGACTTCTATGGGACTCACAGTTTGGGCGTGTTCCTGAAATGTTATATGTTGTGTTTAAAGTTTCAAATTTTATGTACTCTCAGCCTGTTAATTCCGTGTAGCACCTTCAGAAAGAGGGAATTTGGAGTGCGGACCAGGCTATTATACTGGACACTGGGGGGCGTGGCCTATGTATGAGGCATGCACCAACTTTACTTTTTTCATTCTGTTAATGTTCTTTGCTGCTGTTGTGGACAGTAAAGGAAGGGATATGCAAATACTCGCCTCCGTGTCTTTATTAAAATCATGCAATAGCAAAATCATGTAATTTACAGAGCATAAGAAAAAAAGTGAGTTACATCTGACTGAAAATTAAACAGGCTGTGTCATTCGAAGTCAGGAGAGGTGTGGCTAGAGGTGTGGCTAGGGCTGCATAAATAGAAACAAAAGTTATTTAACTACTAAATGGCAGATAATTGAGCAGTGAAAGAGGAGTGTAGCAGTGTAAGAGGCATGATCTATATACAAAAACTGCTTCATTAAGCTAAAGTTGCTTTGGTGACGATAGTGTCCCTTTAAATAAAAGTCTTTCACACAAAAATATATTGCTGTAGAAGCTATTCTTAACCACTTTTTCTCACTTGTCACTGTCTTTTACACTCCAGTTCTGAAACTGAATTTCTTAACTACCTTTTTGTTTTGTTTTACTCATGAACCATTCTCTCTAAATTCTAACAGTGATATTTACTAAAGTGAGAATTCAAGGTGATTTCAAAGTGCATTTCAAATTCAAAGTCAAAATTTCCAAACTGGAAAAATTATTTGTCAGAAATGCTTTCAGTTCAGCTAATCTGGTCATAAATTTGAAATTTGCTTTTGATTCTTACCTTACTAAATAGCCCTGTAAACTGGCTGGCATGGGTCCATCTATCAGTTGTATCTGTTTGTCAATCAAGCTCATTTTTAATACCCATTAAAATGTGAAGCACTGTGTAAATTTCTGCAATCACATTAATCAATAATTAATAGCTCAATGTACTGAAGAAAGGATAAGTGCTAAAATAAGCAAATGCTGAACACCGATTTTATTGGTAATTAATCATATCCCTTTATTATAATTACATAAACGTGGTTGTGTATTTTCTATAGTTTGTATTGTATTACATTTTTTTACCAATTGTTTGTTAGCAAGGTTTATTCTTTTTTTATAATGAACAAATTATACGAAAGTGCTTTATTTTATCCCAAATCAGTTTAACAAAATCAAAAGAAATGCAATTGTTGGCAAATTTTATTTGGTTTTCAGTTGACAATTCAGATATGAAATATTGCATTTCAACAGCAGGGAGCAGTGTGTAACTAGAAGATTTCTATGGTATTGCTGAAGGTAATGAAGAATATAGCAAAAGAAATGTAAAAATACAAAAAATTAAATAATACAAATTGTGACATGCGGATGCCAGTTTCGAGCTACAGAAACCCATTATTAATTATAATTTTGTTTAGCAAGCATAGAGATTACAATTGCCCACATGCAGGCAAAATGATTATTGTGCTACATCTTATTTTTGACTTATTCATATTGTACTTCTAAATACACAATTCTAATTAGGTGACAAAACATACGTGTGGATTAATGTTCGTAATGAATATACAGTTAATAAATATTGTGCTGCTTTAGAGTTATTTGAACAATAGAAAGGTGGATATGTG